ATTATTAAAGGCAATTATTTTACATTAAGATTTATTCTCCTATAAATGAACGGAACGTAAAATTTCATATTTCTATACTTTAATCTGCTAGATAATAAAATAATGATATTTCATCTACTTCAAACTCTTAAATAAAAGATTTTAAAGTTTGGATCATGTAATCAGAAGAAGTGTTCAGTTATTAAATTAGCCTGCGTTAAAATTCATCAAAGTTTATCATATTACTTAATGCAACTTCTATTTGTTTTCCTCCTAAATCTTTTAATTTTTTTACACTCCATTAGAATCGTTTTAATATCAACTTTTCAAGTTAATCAAAAAGCTCAGTAATTACTTAAATTAACTATTTCATCTCTTACTATAATAAATTACACTAGTTAGAAATATCCATTAAATAGTTTGGCAATAACTCAATTTTATTTATGTGTCTTCGATCATGCTAATGCCATGAAGTGACTTAAAAGCATTATTCAAAGCAAAATAACCTTGGATCCCTGCAAAAAGGATTGATACAAAAGAATTCAACATTTGATTCATGATTTTAGTAGGGACAGCTAATATTAAACATCACGCTTTGTAATTTAATTATTTATTTATTTCTATAGGAAAAAGTTGATTTATATTAGAATCTTGAAAAATATTTTAATCATACTTCCCATAATTCAAAACTTGCATGAATATAAACAAAGAAAAATAAGAATAAATTGTTTATTTAAAAATAATTGTTCATTTATTTTTTGTTAATCCATAAATAATTGAAAATTCTAATATATTAGTTCCTTTATCTTATTTAGTATTGCTTTTAAGCTGAGAATTTTAAGAAATTCTAAAATAAAGAATTGGGTCAACTAGTCATATTTCATGGGTGCTTGCTCATAAATCACATTTCAAATAAAGGGCAATCATACCCTTTAATTTTGGAAGCCTTCCTTAATTGATATTCTACAGCACGAGGACAATAATTAAAAATATTTTGAGCAATACTTCCATTAAAAAAAAATTAACACCTTGTAGAATTCCACAATTAATTTAGAAATTTCTTAATTAAAAGGATAAAATTCATAACAAACGACAATCTAAAGTATTTCAAATCTATATATGTAAATATTTCGTCCTCGAGATAATTATTCTAATATCTGAAATTAGTATCACTTTCTGCCTTTAACCCCAATAATTTGATTTTCTAAAGTGTTAATTAAAGTTTATGTAACTAATAAAGCAGGTAATTAATTTTTTTAATCAAATTGATGTTATTTTGAAGAAATCTTTGAGAATTCAATATCATCGATGAAAAGTTGATTAAATTCACTAAATAGAAATAATTCTAATATACATTAATATTTATTTTGCTGAATGAAAATACTTATACTACCTTCTTTCAAAGCAACAGTTTGATTAATAAAATAAAAGTAAAACTTCTTATTATTGAAATTCTCAAAATCTTTGAGAAAATTAGTGAAATTTTAAATCTCATTAGTTAGTTAGCAAACTAAAGAAGAAAGATCTTTCATATGAAATTTTCATTGCAGAATTAATTTCTATCCTAAAAGAATAACAAAATGTAAGATTTAAAATCAATTCAAAACTAACTAAGGTCATAAAATACTATATAAGATTTATTCAACCAAAAAATTAAGCAAAAACAGAAATAATTGTTGTAGTAGCTTCCAGTTGTGTTATTGATGCACTAAATAAATGAAACAATTAAGTATAATGTTGCAATTAAAATGTCATTTCTTTGATAAGAATTTATGATTCCTCTAAATATAGGATACCATCTCTAATAATTGAATGAAATCCTTCAAACCTGAATAACATTTCTATATTATTGATATCTCTATAATAAATATGCAAATTATTTAATTATTAAATAAAAGAATTAATAATAAAATTATTATATATGAATATTAAAAAGTAAAATTAAACACAGGAAGTGCAATAAGACACGATTTGTAAAATTCACAATTTAGAATTGATTGCAGTGGATTTAGACTTATCTGATAAGTCATAGATGCAATTCTTTTGTGGTAAATGTTTAGTTGACAAATTAAATAATAATAGGGTGACAACAATAGAGTAATCAAAAGAAAGAATCATATAATTTAAAGCTTAATAAAAGGATATCAAAAATAAAGAGAATCAAGCAAGACTCAATTATTATAAAAATATATTAGATCAAATTATGGATTTTAAACAATCTATTAATAATTCTTTGGATAAGATGTATTAACAAATTTAATAATATATATTTCCCATTTAAAAAGAAAAATAAGAATTATTAGATTATGATTAACAATTCAATTACTTTGAAGATTTAAAACAATTATCACAATTATATTCTTAAGGATAATAGAAATCAACTAAATTAGAAGATGACAATAATTTTATAGATGAAATCTAAAGACAATTTGAATTATTATTCAATTGTACTGAATATTTTTCAACTATAGATACATTTAAGAATACGAAAGAAACAATAAAGGATATTATAGAAAATAATCTTATTGAATTGATTCCTATTTAAACATCTAAAAATGAATATGTATATAAAATATATAAAAAATGAATAGAAAACACCAAGTTTAAGTAGAGTTTGTAACATTCATAAAAAGGAAATTATAATGATTGATATGGATTCATAGAAATAGGAAATGGAAGATCGATTTGTATGTGTTGATTGTATTTCTGCGAATCCATAAATAAAATATTATACAATTGAAGATGTTAATAAATAATGGAAGGAATACAATGAAGAATCTGACAAAATATTAAAAGAGTATAAAAAGGAGAGCAAAAACAAAAAATCTGATTTGATTAATTAAGTAATTCAAATGAGAACGAATTATAATAAGAAATTAAATGAAATTAGTGATAAATTGATTTCTGAATAATTCTTATGTATTGATAAACCTAAATAATCAAATTCAATAAAGAAACTCTCCATATAAACATTAGATGATGAATAATTAATTAAAGATTTAAAATAATTAATAGAAAAAGAAAAAGAGAAAGAGAAAGTACCATTTAATGAAACAATAATCAATGAAAAAAATAAAGATTCAATCTTCTATAAAGAGATTTAATTTCATTTAGAATCTTTAAAATAATATGATTAATAAGATATTTCATAATCATTAGACATTCTCAAAGGTATCTCAGGTATTAATTTGAATTAATTTTTATAGTTGAAAGAAAATTAATTCTTTAGTTAACTGAAACAATTTAATAAATTTAAAAGAGTGGATAAAATGATGAAAATCAGAAAAATTAAGTTAATTTTATAAAGGAGATTCAAGAATTCATTCATTAAGCAATGAATTATCAATTACTTTCAAATGTATTCAATTAGACTATTTCAAATTATTAATAAAATGTTCAAACATTATAATAGATTTCATAACATATTGAATTAATATCAAAAGATACTAATAAATCAAATTTATCAGAATAGATTAAGGCTTAATATTTAAATTTAAGTAATATTTTGAATGAATACTCAAATATATTTGAAAATAAAAATTCACAATTGAAAAAGTATTGCAATATTCAATTAATGGAATAAGAATTAATCAAATTATCAGAAACCAATAAATAAATACAAATTGAAAGTAATTTTATTATTATGATAAATAGAAAACAATCAAATCGATTCATTGTAATAGTCATATGAATAGAAAATCATTCAAATAAATGAAACATTAGAATCTAAGGAGAAAGAATATTAAACTATTAAACAATAATTTGATCTAGTTAATTCAGAAAATATCAATTTGAAATAATAATATGAATAAGATAAGAAGCAAATGATTAAATAATCAGAAGATGAATGTATTAAATTCTAATATTATCTATAGAAAATAAGATCAAATCAGATTATAATAAAAGAATCAATTAAAAGGATTCAGAACTAAAAGATGCATTATAGAAACTTGATTAAATTCATAAAGATAAGTTAGAATAAGAGAAAATTAACAAAATGGAATTAGATAAAGTAAATTTCCTTTCATTCTATTCTTTTTAGATTCAACAGTATAATAAAACATTAACATTTTCAAATACTTATAAACATAGTGAATGTTAAGTAAGTGAAGCAGCCAAACTTGTTTCTGGTGTTGGAAATTCAGGTTGGTATTTTTGTGTTTGTGAATAAACAATTCCAAAAACTGGGAAAATACAATTTACATTCTAAATACTTACTGGATCATAATGGTTTGTAGGAATAGGATTTAGAGATATAATGCAAAAAAATAATTTTGACAATTGTTATCAGGCTGGGTATGGGTATAATAATAATAAATCATAATAGAACATATTTAATAAAAGAAGATGGTCGAAGTTGGTCCCATCATAACAAAGATGTACATAATATGCAATTATCATTTAAATTTACAAATAATGATATAATAAGAATGGAAGTAAGTATTGAACATAAAAATATTAAATGGAGTAGATAGAGTAATCCACAAGCGACAGCAACATTTGTTGTAACTATGAAATTGATTATTAGTAGTTGGAAATAGATACATCATAAGAATTATATCCATGTGTTGGTCTTCATTAAAAATCTTAAATAAAAATATTAGATAGCGCTATCGTTTGATATTTAAGAATATTATTAAATAATTTATGGGTTTTTCATAATAAATAAATTAATATTAAAGTATTCTATTATTTAAAAATCATGATCATTTCTATTAAGGCCATAATAAATTAAAAGCGAAAACCTAAATTCAATATTACAAAAATGTGATGATTAAGAATTCTTTGAAATAAAACCCCCTTAAAACAAGACATAGATATTACACAATTATTGAAGATTTTATTATTTTGTGGAAACCAAAAGTTTATCTAATATTATTCTATGAGAACTCTTAATATTCTTTCTATTATAAATATATATAGCAATTCTTTTTATAGAATTGCAAATTTATTTTGGTTAATTAATGAATAATTTCTAATTTAATTAAGCGACATATTTCGCAAATACCCTTGTTATTTTATCTAAATCTTGTTGTGATCATAAGTTACATATATCTCTATTTATTGATATGAGTGTGGTATCACTGCAATTTTCATATACTTCATCTTAAATTGAATTTAATACTTAACTTTAAGAATTTCTTAATTATATTTTATTAATTAATTAAAGATTTAAAATAATTAATAGAAAAAGAAAAAGAGAAAGTATCATTTAATTAAACTATAATTAATGAAAAAAATAAAGATTCAATCTTCTATAAAGAGATTTAAGTTCATTTAGAATCTTTAAAATAATATGATTAATAAGACATTTCATAATCATTAGACATTCTCAAAGGTATCTCAGGTATTAATTTGATTTAATTTTTATAGTTGAAAGAAAATCAATTCTTTAGTTAACTGAAACAATTTAATAAATTTAAAAAAGTGGATAAAATGAAGAAAATCAGAAAAATTAAGTTAATTTTATAAAGGAGATTCAAGAATTTATTCATTAAGCAACGAATTATCAATTACTTTCAAATGTATTCGATTAGACTATTTCAAATTATTAATAAAATGTTCAAAAATTATAATAGATTTCATAACATATTGAATTAATATCAAAAGATACTAATAAATCAAATTTATCAGAATAGATTAAGGCTTAATATTTAAATTTAAGTAATATTTTGAATGAATACTCAAATATATTTGAAAATAATAATTCACAATTGAAAAAGTATTGCAATATTCAATTAATGGAATAAGAATTAATCAAATTAACAGAAACCAATAAATAAATACAAATTGAAAGTAATTTTATTATTATGATAAATAGAAAACAATCAAATCGATTCATTGTAATAGTCATATGAATAGAAAATCATTCAAATAAATGAAACATTAGAATCAAAGGTGAAAGAATATTAAACTATTAAACAATAATTTGATCTAGTTAATTCAGAAAATATCAATTTGAAATAATAATATGAATAAGATAAGAAGCAAATGATTAAACAATCAGAAGATGAATGTATTAAATTCTAATATTATCTATAGAAAATAAGATCAAATCAGATTATAATAAAAGAATCAATTAAAAGGATTCAGAACTAAAAGATGCATTATAGAAACTTGATTAAATTCATAAAGATAAGTTAGAATAACAGAAAATTAACAAAATGAAATTAGATAAAGTAAATTTCCTTTCATTCTATTCTTTTTAGATTCAACAGTATAATAAAACATTAACATTTTCAAATACTTATAAACATAGTGAATGTTAAGTAAGTGAAGCAGCCAAACT